AGAAATTATAACCTAACTTCAACCGAGCGTCAGCGCTGTCAAACGTCAAGTCCCCATGCTTTGTCATCATGTCATATCATTTTGACATTTGCTATTGATAATTTGACAAATGAAAACATAAAATAAAATTTTCATAATTCTATGCCAATGATGTCGCACGGGAACAGCTAGTAAATAATAATTAAGTTTTTAAAAGAGTAGGGATTAAATTGTAGGTAGAACAAGAATATAAACTAACAAAAACATTTATAGCAAGAAACAAATAAATCCCAAGGACTTAAAAACAGCAGAGAATATTACGGCTATGGAAATAGTGATGTTTGAAAGACTATAGTATAACGTTCAATGCAGTATATAACCAATCTATTTACTCAAAGAAGTTAAACACTCCTTTACATTTGGTATCGCTTCTTGGACATAAAATAAATTCATTCGATTTCTTACACTTATTAGATAATAAAAAGTAATGTATGAAAAATGTTTTATATTTTTAAATCTACTTTTATCTACTTTTACGATTATAGTCAATAGACTGTCTTAATAATATTAGAATTAAAAAATATACATTAAACAATAGCTATCACAACTAAAATTAATGACTTGCAGATGTTCACTGTTCACAAGAGCGGATCATTGAACTGGCTTGTAACTCAATATTTACCTGCATAGAGGTATATGATTGCGAGACACTGATTTTTCCCAACCGTCACCCTGCTCTGTTTTCACATGAGAATAAAGTTTTATCCGTCCCACTATCACCAATAAGGTGACAGAACGGTTATGAAATAAAATAAGTTCCAACTGTACCCTATCGCAAAAGGTGGGATGAATGAAACTTTTTGTTTTTATCTGTCTTCACGTGGGGACAGAGCAGGGTGACGGTTGGTTCGCTCTCCAATACTTATAGTATCTCGCCGCTCAGCTTCAAGATAATGTGAACTGATCTTTAGAATTGTGTTAATTTACACACGTCTTTTGTAGTTACCGTTGCACACTTGCATTACATATTGTCATCTTTTTTCATTCTCATTGATAAAACAAAGATAGCTATATGTAAGACAAGTACTACAGGCGATGTCAACTTAGAAAATTAAATTAATACCTCAGTCATCATAGCGAGATTTTCTCCTTTCTCATCTTGTATTGTGATGTTATCGAAATTCACAGTAAACGATCTGTCGCCGGCTGTTTCTTTCTTAACTTCCATATTCACGTTCTTCAATTCCGAACTATCTTTGTTCATGTATTGTTTGATTTTTACGTTATTTATACCTAAATTGTTTAAATCGATATTTATGTCGTTAACGATACCGTTTTCTATACTACAGCAATGTTTGCAAGTTTCTATTATATCTACTTGATTGCATTCATTCGATGTTTCTAAATGTATATCAGAATTCGTTACTTCAATTGGAATTGAATCGATTATTGATTCTTTTTTATGATTAAATGAATCATTATCGTATAGAATAGTGAAATAATTAACAGTTCTAACTATTTGTTCTTTTGGAATGGTTTCTATGTTCGCGGTTGATGTCAAATCTTTAATTAAATTCATACTAGAATCATATGTTTCAGATGGAATGTTAAATCTATCACAAATGGCAGTTGATGTGGGATTGTCTTGTCGGTAATGATTTTCAGATTGGCTTAATTCAAAAAAAGACTTCGATGGGTCTGTTTGGGATGGTGATGAAAAGTAACTCGATAGTCTACTAAAATCGTAAACATCAGGACTATCTCTAACACGAGCTGGCTCAGCTTGTGTGGTATTTGTATCCAAGGTCTTCGTGTCTGTAGATTCAATTTCAGATGTTGAAGATGGCTCTCTGATAACTTCTGTATCAACGTTTTTTGTTCCGAAAACAGTTGCAAAATCAGGTAATTTAGTATCAGCTTCTGTTGTGTTTGTTACATTTTGTTCGGAAACATTTATCGTGTCAGTTGTAGATTCTACTATTAAAGTACTTGCTGGTTGGTTTGTTGTTTCGTTTGTTTCAGTAGACGGAACGTAATACGTTAAAGACGATTCAGGTTTCGGTATATATACGTTACTGTCAGGTAAAACGTACACTACTGGCTTTTTATTGGAATTAACGTCTGGTGTTGCAAACGCTGTATAATTTTCGTTCGGAACAATATAGAACTGTTTCGGATATAATGTTTCGAAGCCAGGCGGTGCTCTCACGATTGTCATAGGATGCTGTGATTGTGCGGCGTTCATATTTGATACAGAATGAGAACTTGATGAGTTTCGATAGAAGTTTTCCACGGCGTAATTCCCTGTATCGAAGTACGAAGCGATAGTTGTTGATGGACTTGTTGAAGTGGGTGCATCATACATCGAACTGTCGGTAGTTTTAAACACTTCATGACTATGTTCTAATGTTTCTTCCATTTTCTTATATCTCTCCACTCTATTAGTAAATGTATCGCCTGGAATAGATTCTTCGGAGCTTCTTTCCCGTTCTCTGAACTCTATCTTATCGTCATCCGTTTCTGAAGGCTCGATAACATTGTCGTCGTATATAGGGAAGTCTTTTGTCGCGTCTTGTTCTATGGAGTGAACATCCAAACCACTTTCATCAGATTTAGAGTCCTCTTCAGCTGGAGGTGCTGAAGGAATGCTCATTTGTCTTGGGAATACTGTTAATGGTTCATCGAATGAATTTTTATACTCCGCTTTGATTTCATCGCTCGCATTAGTTGGTATATCTTCTACAGTTAAGGAATTAGTTTGGAAAAGTCTTGAAGTCACGTTATCTGTTTGCAAAGAATAATCATGTTCCAGAAGTGCATTATTACTGGACGAGGGGGATTCATCTGTAAGCCATCCGTAATTATTATGCACAGCTGAGCTATTGTTAAAATCATCCATAAGGTCTGTCGCAGCATGTTCTTGTATTGTCGCAATAGTTTCTTCTGTAATATGTGTGATTTCAGCACATTGATTGGGCTCAAAATCAGCTCTAATAACGTCTGGGCTATCATTATCTGTAAAAGGGACTTCAACAGGATTCGACAGTTGTATAGGTGCTATAACATTTTCAATCAGTTGGTCTGTTAGATTTTCAGCTTCTTTTTCTACAGGTTTATTAACCTCTCTACAAGTTTCGCAATTACTTATGTCATGATCAATTTCTTCCTCTTTCAAAACCGTCTCTAGGACAGTTTCTACTACTGTGTTCTCTGTAGATAAAGGTCTATCAAAGAAGTCTGCAGCATTTTGATCGAAAAGAAACCCTTGATGTGCTTTAGAATCGACAAATAGATCAGTTTGAGCTGGCTCTTTATTAAAAATAGCAGTTGCTTGGCTATCGAATGTAGAGTCGCTAGGTAAATTTGACGCCGATTCAAAGTATTTAAATCCAATATTATCCCATTTAGGAATTTGTGGTTCATTTAAAGTCGGTGTAATTAGATTACTGACTACTTCAGGATTGATTACATTTCCTACATTTCCTTTTATCTCAGTTTTGTTTAGTTCTATAGAACTCTCTTGTTTACTATCAATAGGAAAGCTTTCTGATAATTTAGTAGTCGAGGTTTCATCTGTATTAAATTGTATCAGAGATGCTTTATCTTCTATTTTTGCAGGCATCGGTGTAAATAAATTTTGCATTGGTATGTTATCTTGAACTTTTAAATCTGAAAAGATCGAACTCTCGCATAAATTTGATCCAGTTACTTGTGTTTTGAAAGGTTCGAAATTATTGTTACTCGGGACAATATTTGGATTTGTAAATATTTGAGTGATAGAGATATCATTATTAGGTTTCGCTGCTTCCTTCTCCTGGGTTGTAGGGTTTTTATTAATTTTGGTACCGACTGCTTTTAAGTCTTCGTTCTTGCCTGTATAAGTCAATTCTACAGCCCAAGGGGATGTTTCTTTTAGATTACATTCAGGGGCATTGTAAATTGGTTTATCAGAGCTTGAAGCAGATGTTTGGTCTGGAAAATAATTATATGGAACCTGTTGAATTCCTGTTGAGTTACTAACAGTGTTTCCATCTAATTGATAATTATATCCAAACGCTTGCGATGCAGGTTCCACAGTAGGTACGTATATTTCTAAGTTACCGTCTTGTATTTCAGCAGTTTTCTCTAATGGGAACGATTCATACATTTGTTCCCGATTAGTTGTGTCCATTTTAGTATAATTGTACGCAGGATCGAAGAATGTAGTAACTGAATTTTGTATCTTATTAAGATCGATTGAGCTTAGTTTGGATTTCAATGAACCGATGATACCAAAACCTTTCGATTCTTGTTGATTTTCATAATATTCAGTTGTCTGTCGGCTCAAATCGAATGCAGTATTGTAATCTTGTTGTCCGTAATTTTGCGTTTGTGGTTGAGTTTCAAATTGTTGATAAACTCCTGCATTACTTAAACTAGTTGTTAAGGGATCTGTCGTCGCACCCGATAAAATGATCCCTGAATCACCAGGTAGTTGTTGAACTGGTAATTGGGGGGTATATAAAGGTCCTTGGAATGTGTTAGTCGGTTCAGAGTATACAATTGGTTTGACGTGATTACTTATACTACCAACTCCTTCGATAGGTCCAGAATAATACTGGGGTTTTTTCTTTGTCATTCGGAAATTATTACTTGACATTTTTGGAGGCTCTGGTATACTTTTATTTGGCTCTGTAATATTAGGTTCAAATACTGATTTATTGACAGTAGGAATATTTTGAACTTCATTAACGTTGCGATCAGAATTTATATCTGTTGCACTTTGATTGAAGAAAGTTGGTGGAGGCACGGACTTCAAATTAGTTGGTTTCTTCAGTTTTTCGCTTAGTAATTCATCAGCCAGATTAGTTATTGGTGGATCTAAATTCATTTGAGAAAGTTGTTTTACAACTAAATCTTCCGGAGACAATATCTTTTGAGGTATATCAATAGGACTATGCCCTTTAAGGTTTTCTAGTATACTTTCTTGCGGTATTTCTTTTGATACGAATATCGATATTTTTGATGAACCATATGATGCAGGTTTAATTATTTTTGATTTCGTATTTCCAGTACCCATGTGTACATTGGGATCAATTATAAAGCTTGTATCAGGTTTTGTTTGTGTAATTCCAGGGTTATTAGTAGCACTTGCTGTATACCGTTCAGGTTGTGGCAATTTAGGATCAATTACAAAGCTTTTATTGGGTTGTTCTTGTATGATTCCAGAATAATTAGTAGCACTTTCTGTATACCGTTCAGGTTGCATTAGAGGATCGGATATGAAGCTTTTATCAGAATTTTCTTGTGCAGGGTTCATGGTACTCGGTATATATGGTTGACGTTGTTGCATTGGCTCAAGTTTTTCTTGTATATCACCAGGGTAATTATTACTTGGTACAGATTCGTGTGATCCCATTACAGACGGCACGAAGATATTTTGCATTGGTGTTGAAAGAGGTGCTTGTGGTTTTATAACCGGATTATTCGCGGACACACGCCTTGCTATAGACGGTGGTAATACTGATCGAATATTAGTCTGATCAGTTTTTAATTGATTTGAGAACATCGGCGGTGGAGGTATCACAGACATTGGAGCCGGTTGGATCGTTAAAGCCGTTGGATCTGTTACAGTTTGGATAGATTCCCGTTTGTTAATCATTTCAATCGATAGATTAAGATCATCTACAGTTGTTGTAGATTTATTCTGTTCTGGATAATTCGATGGAAATTGTGGTACATTATTGTTTGCTCCAAACTGAGTAACAGTATGTACATTCCTGTCACTGCCAGTCACTTCAAATGTATTTACATCTACATTATCATGTATTCGCATCGGTGTACTTATATCTGAGATCTGTGTTTCAGGTGCGAAATGCGATGGGTTACCAATAGGCTGGTTTGTCGATATATTTTGCATCATATCTGCGGATTTTAGGCCTGGTATTTGCGCGTACATTTTCTTCTTCGTTGTTATTCGATAGTTTGAAGGTGTACCTGCAACAAGTAAAGTTACAATTATTTATGTGGTTTATAAAAAGCAAATATTTTTACCGCTACTTTCTCATTTTCTATGAAAATCTTAATTAGTATACCAGTAGAGGAAGACCTAGGTAGTGATAGAAGGTTTGCGTGAGTGATGACATAATCTAGACGAAAAAGACTGTGATGACGGAAGATAGATATGAAGGATGAAACCAATCCTTCAAAGCACCAATCCTGCAAGTGGGATAAGGAAAGGGGGATTATGGATTCACGTCTTATGGAGCTAGTCTAATGTATCTAAAATAAACACCTCTTGTTTCTTAGTTGTACCTTCTATTGACAAGTACAATTATAGCATTGTCACAAAGTAGAATGGCCTTAATTATTTATCTAAATGGTTTGGTATATGCATGTATTAGTATCTTTCGTTACGAAACGGTTACAACTCTCTTATTGAATATATTTGGTAAAATAATAATTACATCCTTTCTGAAGTCAAGGCAGCTAGTATACATAGATCCCTATTCCAGGAGAAAGTCTAGAACTGTTGTAAAACACTACCGTTTACGTAACATCTCATTACAGCTTAGACTGTCAATCTAACACTAGTTCTGAGGCGTATAATTATTAGATTTCAAAGAGAAAATTAGCAAACCCGGCTTAGACTGCTTTTCCATCAGGGATAAGACGTAACAAGCTAATGTAGATAATGAAATTAAACGTTTTAAAATAAGAACACTAAAATTGATTAAAAAGTGACACTCAGTGGAAAAATACTCATAGAATGACACCTCATTCTTCAATATTAGCTCAGTCGTCTATACTAATAAAGGGGAAAGATTTGTATGTTTTGAAATAACTCAAAAACTACTGGGTTGATTCTGAAAATACTTTCACCGTTAGAAAGGTAATTTATCTGTGAGTAACAGAGGCTATTATTTTTCAATTTCACAAGGGCAAAGTCCCGAGCAACAGCTAGTTTACAATACAGAAGGTAACAAACGAATTGACATAAATTTGACGCCACATATTTCCAGAAAAAAAGTGCTATGTTAGAAGCGACAATTGTAAAAGATCGAGGTCGAAGTAAGGAGCAGACTCACAACAAGGTGGATAGATGTGGTGATAGATAGCGAGTGACAAGTTTCGGAGCAGGATATCTTACATATAGCGAAGTGGAGGAGATTGACAATGAAAGCTGACCATATTGGATACAGCCTAGGAAAAGAGAGACAGAGAGAGAGTAGGAGATCGATTATTGAATTCAATTGCTATTATGTACTTCACTCATATTTATCCGAACGTTTTTTTGTTGTTTTATTTGCTCAAACTTGCTACTACATTACGTAGTCGTTAATAATTGTGTGCCAAGCAATGTGTACACGCTTTGTACATATTTATGTTGACAAATGTACATATGACAAATAAAAGGTTTTTCAAACTATCAACATCAGACTAAAAATTAAACGGCCGATAGGCTAAAACCAACTGCTAACATGCCTGTAATCCTTAATTTAAATACTAAATTAAATAATAGAATAGTCAAAGTTTCTGTTTAGTTACATAAGAAACATAGAACATACTGGCGCCACACAGTCTACTGTTCTCACGGTCACCACGACCTTTTAAACCTCACGTGTTTAGACCTTTACGTGACGTAACCGATAAATTACAACCACAGCTTGTTACGATATCTTAAAGAATCAAGATATGACTATTGAATTTTTAAATAAAAGAATTGAATCTACGTTCGATGTGCGTACAGCAAAACAGTGGAACAAGACTAGACAGTTAAATAGCGTATCTCTCGACCATATTTATAAAGGAAATTTAAATGAGATGGATTGCTGGAAAGGCGACATCAAGAAGGATGTGAGAACTAAGAGCGGGCGTAGACATTTGACTAAACTATAGCACTACTGTTGAGCGATTGTCGATTGTTCCGCAGTCAGCTGTTTAGTTGCACAACTAAAAATCGTGTAGTTTGAGCACCTCCATATAAGCTCATAGGAATTAAAGCGAGACTAAACAGTTGTGCGATAGTTTAGTTTCAGGTGTGCGCACGCTCTGTAATGACAGAATACAGCTTAAGCTGGTGGACGAAAATCCGGTGAACGACCTTACGGGAGTAGGATAAAGATGGAAAGATTATGATTGCCATCTATACTATTATAATAAAGCGTAAACACACACTTCTTTGTTGCCTAAGATGTCGGCAATTACAGAATATTTTTGAATAATTCTTGTTTTACTAAAAAGCTCTACATTAACGTCACGCTTTAGGCTATATATTTTCACGCCATTAAACTTAGGGGGTAGTTATTTTGGAAAAAAACTCTAATGTGGGAAAGAGACCATAAGTTGCTGCCAACATCAAGAAAGTAAGATTGCCAAGGTTAGTCATGTCATGTCATTTTGACATTTGCTATTGATAATTTGACAAATGTAAACAATACAATGAAATTTTCATAATTTCATGCGGATAAAACCGCACGGAAACAGCTAGTTTAATATAAAGATCGTTTAGATATTTAAAAAACATAGTAAATTAAAGACATACCTATAGGTGGTTTCTTCGGTGGCGGGGCCACTTCCTTAACAACATCAGGCACACTCATCAGAGGTACACCAATCTCTTGCGTTCTTTGTACCTGTTCTGAATAATCCGGCAATGGTTTTACAACATCAGGCGTATGCTCTCTACTCTTCATACTCAGCATGTTAGAGAAGGAGCTAAACACAGCACTTGCAACTTGAGGTAAAACCGTAGGTAATTGTGAGAAATTCTGAGCAATATCTGCTGTTAGACTGTGCTGGAATTCTTCAACTGGTTTATCTGGTTCATTCAAGTTAATCTCTTCTAGATTTTCCTCTGTTGCTAAATTTTCCGCCTCTTTAACCGCACTATTAATAGGTGCACTAACATACCTAGTGCCGTGTAGTCTAGCAAAATATTCATTAACGTCAAAATCGTCTTCGGTATTATGTGAAGCTTTTGACAATGTTGTACGAGAATCCATTATGTTATTATTATCAAGATTTTTTTGAGTATTCGACGGGTTTGGATTTATATTGGTTAACGTTTGAGAACGATATATGTTGGAATTTGAATCACCGGATGATAAATCTAAACGATTCTGTTCGGGATTCCTCAGGGATCCCGTTTGGGTACCGGTTTGGGTATCTGTAACAAACAAAAAAAAATTGAGACTCTTCAAATAAAATTAAAAGAACATAAAAGACAGTTCAGATCAATATTTTACTATAAATCTATTTCCGTTTGTAGTAATATGATATTATAGTAAAAATATAGACAACTTTATTTACCTAAACAATAAAAAATAGTTAAAAAACAGCGATAATATTCATTTATTAATAAAACATACGCTTTTTTTATCTATACTAAAGTAAAAAATGGTATAAAAAACGTAAATCGACAAATCAAGTTAAAATGAAAAGTTAACTTACTTAACCTTGAGCGAAGCTTATTTTTTTAGCTTATCTAACAATACAACCGCAATAAGGAAAGGATATAATTCGTCAGAATTAACACGTGGTTTTCAATGTCAATGACTAGTAAATATATCAGAAAACGTGCCTTATTTCAATTTGAAGTATTTTGTACAGATTTTCAAGTTTGTACTTATGTAAGTTTATTGATCACTAATAACTTAAGTGATTGAATTTATTTTGTACTTTCGCCCGCGACTCCGTCTGCGTGGAAATAAAAAAACCAAGTAGCCTATGTGTTCCTCCACACTATCCTCTACATCCATGTGAAAAATCGTGAAAATCCGTTCAGCCGTTAAGGCTACAAACTCTAACAAACATCCATCTAAAACTTCGCATTTATAACATTAGTAAGAAGTATAATAAGCAGTTCGCGAGCGGCTTCATTCGCATGACATTATAAAAACTGTATCTTAGATTTCTAAAACTTTCAATTGCAAATATCAAAATTTCAACGAAAGATTTTGGGCGTTGACTGAGAATTGGTTATGAGTAACCATGGCAACCCTGCTTTGCTAGTTGTAGATTTTATCCCTTTCCCGCATAAGTGTTTTATCCAATTCATTTATCCCTAAGTTTGATAGCATGAAAATATGTAGTAAAGCGTGTAAATGTAGGGCTTTTTATTAAAAAAATATTAAAAAGATATACTGTGATTGCTGACATCCTACACAACTAAAATTACTTTACGCTTTATTATATTAGAATACGATCTTGTTGACATCATCATCCCCATCACCAGCCCACTATACGTCCCCACCCAGGGGCTAGGAGCCTACCCTAAGTTAGGGTGACTAGGCCATAGTCAACCACGCTGGCCCACTGCGGGTTGGTTGACTTCACACATATCTTTGAATTTCTTTGCCGATATGTTTAGGTTGCATCACGATGTTTTTCTTCACCGTAAGAACGTCGGTTAAATTATGTACATATGGAAATTCGAAAAATCGAAAATCACATTGGTGCAGCGGGATTCGAACCCAAGACCTGTAGATTACAAGTCAAGTGCTTAAACCCCTGAGCCACCGACGCTCATCACTGGCCTGGAATACATTATGCCACTAGTAATTGGCATGCCAGCTGCTCCGTTTTACTGGCTTATGTATTTCCGTCTATTGATGTGTCTAGTTTGATTTAGCAGTTAGTATTATTTGTAACCATTATATTAAAATTATTTCCTAGTATGTTTGTGTCACTTTAACTAGCAAATGATAGCTTCTATTTAGTTCATACAAATGTCACCAAACAAGTTTTTAATCGATGTGTTTATTTCTATTAGTGGTTTGTTTTGGTACTTATAGTGTACAAATTAATGGAATATAGTCTGTATTGCGTAGAACGTAAGATTGAATTTAATATGGCTGTCAGATCTAGGTTCACATGTTTTAAACATGGCGACATTGACTATAGAGAAAAGGACTAAGCAGCTTTTGTAATAAATAGATAGTGAGAAGTTAAAATTACGACTCAATCGAGCGGTAAGAAAAAATCTAGTAATAACATATACCATGTCAATCAGTAATAATGTGACATTCAAATGACAATTTTTTTTTTAAATCGATCAAGTAATTTCCGAGTTTATAGCTCACATACAATAATACAAAAAATACACACACATAACGAGCACACATGTAACAAAGCCCAGTATTTGTTCATTTAATTCAATGAGAAGAATTTGCAAGCTTGATCCTGTCATTCAAAATTCAAAGGGTAGTTAAACTGTGCTAAACGATTATCTGCTCACTTCAAAGTAGCTTATATCAGACTAGTACCATGTCTAGATTTCCTAGTAAACCTTAGACTAGACTAGAAAGTCTATCAATCGCCAGATGTTCAATAATCTAGATTTATTATCATTTTCACTACATCGACTGTTTATTGTGAACAGACTTCAACCATGTTAATAAAGCGATCCACCCCGGCTTCGTACGGGTTCAAAGCTGATAAAAAAATGTGAAATTAAAAAAAAAAGTAAATATATCTTACTAATATTATAAATGCGAATGTTTAGATAGATGGATGGATGTTTGTTAGAGTTTGTAGCATAGACTGAAGTGATAGTCTGGAAGAACACATAGGCTACTTGCATTTGTTTTTCTAATTCCGCGAGGACGTTGTCGCGGGCGAAAGCTAGTAGCCTATATTACGCATTGATACCGTAGCTTTTAATGGTGAAGGAATTTTTAAAATCGTCCCAGTAGTTTTTGAGTTATTTCAATACATACAAAAATCCAAAAATACAAATCCTCTTTATAATATTAGTATAGAGTATAGGTGATTGTTACTCTACAAGTACTAATAAAATGAGCAATATGTCCACTTTAGTTTCGGTCACACCTACAGGCGTGGTAACTTCTCACTTAAAACAATTGCCAAATGTCGTAGTACAATAGAAAAATCCGTCACAACAAAAACCACCCGAATTATCTAGTACGGAGAACTGAATTATACTCACTTCAGAATTGACTGAATTTTGACAGGAGTTATCTTACTAATATGTGAAAGTTTAGATGGATGTTTGTTAGAGTTTGTAGCCTAAACTGCTGAACGGATCTCGATAAAATTTGGCACAGAGGTGGAGCAGTCTGGAAGAACACATAGGCTACTCTACTTTTGTTGTTTCTTTAATTCCACGAGGCCAGAATCGAGTACAAAAGCTAGTAATAATATTAATGTTTTTAAACTATGACAGATTAACAATGACATGAACAGAAGGAACGGCGGCACTGGTAAGTACTACAAGCTTCTAATTTTTCATCCTTTTTATATTACACACGCTTCTTACATAGAAGCGAAATGCAAAGTCATAATATCTGTAACCAATTAAATTACAGACTATTTTCTAAAACAAAATAACCGGTTTCAAAACTACCCAAATTCCGCAACTAACCGTAACGTGATTCACACAAGTTTGCGTTGCAGTAACACAGCGGCATTGGATTATCTTCGAAACGCCTTTATTTATTTCCGATATGAACGATTGACTAAAACCTAACAACCAGGTCATGTTACGTGTAATGTCTGCTTACCCCACTTACAAAGTTTCGTAAGCTTTATCTATACTATACTTCGTTATTGAGTAACTTAAAAAAAATAAGTTCGGCCTATGACAATGAATGTGGATGGCTGCAAAGATATGAGACAGAAGAAAGTATGTATTGTGTTGCTGAGGATATGCTAGAGAAGGCAGCGAATTCAGATATTCAGATAGAGATGTAAGAGTACATACTGTGCTCTACGATTAGTGTACATATGTTATTCGAATTAAAGTCCGCAATTTCCTTTAGCATTGTATAATGACACTGTATGTGACAGGATGACTTTGAACTAGAAATATTGACTTGACGGTCTTGAATCATACGATTGTGTTTTGAGGTTATACGTGCACATAGAACCACGCGTGTTGACAGCCGAAACACTTTTTTCGTAATATAAATTCCTAATTCCTAATACATATTTAACCGTGATGTACTAGGCGATCATAGGCTACAAAGAGAAAGAACAAAGAAAGTATGCATGTATGTGTGAAAGAAATTGCTTGAGGCAGTATGTTCAGATATGACGGCTAACAGAGATGTATGGAGGAAGCACATACTATGCTGAACCTCCGTAGGAACAAGGGCAAGTTGATGATCATGGTACTAGGCGAGCATAGCTTTAAAGATGTGTTGGAAAGACTTTCAAACTTTGAATAATACAATATCAAACATTACAAAATGTGCTTACGCTTTATTACTTTACTTTCTACTAATATTATAAATACAAAAGTTTCGATGGATTTATGTTCGTTAGTTTGTTGCCTTAACAGCTGAATAGTTAAGCATAGTCTCCTTACTTTTGTTTTTGTTTCGCCCGCAGGTGGCGCGAGCGATAGTATTAGTATAGGTTACTGTAGATTTTATTGTCGTCCTTTTCTTTCACTTAGACAAAACAGAGAGATGTGATTAAGGCAGTCGAAACCAGCTCATAAAAAACATATAAACCTTCCTACAAGTCAATAGAAGTACCAGGCTAACATAACTTCAAAGAACACGCAACTTTTTACGCAACATTGCAAACCAATATGTACGTAAAGTCGATAAGACAAGGACAAACACATTTGAGAGAAAGAGATAGTTCAACAAGTTACTTAAAAATATAATTAAAATTAACATAAATGCTTAAAACCTATTGATAAATGACATATTTGTATGACCATTATCATTTCGCAAGGCTTTGCTATTTTTAAAATGGATTCACGAGCGTTGCAAAATATTTGCCCGAAGATGGAATTTTTACCTATAAAAGATTAAGCGAGGTTAACACATCTCATATGGTAAAGCAAAGATTTCTCGCATAGATTTTAACGTAATTACAATTAATAATTCATTATATAAAATCCCACTGAACGTCCATAACATTTTAAGATGCGTTTATTTTAACGCTTTCGAACAAAAATTGCTCTTGCTTCGTTCATCTAGAGTTCAAAATGCAATACTTAAAAGAGCTGCCGTAGACATGGTAATATAGCTCACTATAATTACTCGTATAAGTGCTAAAAATTAGATGGATGGATGGATGTTTGTAAAAGTTTGTGCCCAAAACGGCTGATCTAATATCTATGAAATTTGGCATAGACGTATAGGATAGTTAGGAAGAACACAATAGCTCACCACTTTTGTTTTTTTTTAATTC